GATGCTAATCGTTATTATTTGACTTTTACTGATGATTACAGTAGATATGGATATGTCTACTTAATCAAGCATAAGTCAGAGACTTTCGAGAAGTTTAAGGAATTTAAACAGGAAGTCGAGAATCAATTGGGCAGGAACATTAAGATGCTTCGATCCGATCGGGTGGTGAGTATCTTAGTTCAGAGTTCCTCGACTATCTAAGGGAATGTGGGATTGTCTCACAATTGACACCTCCCAGGACACCGCAGTTGAATGGTGTGGCTGAGAGGCGTAATCGAACCTTGTTGGACATGGTTCGTTCCATGATGAGTCGAGCTTCGCTACCAATCTCATTCTGGGGGTATGCCTTAGAGACTGCCGCCCATATCCTTAATCTAGTCCCTACAAAGAAAGTTGCCAAAACTCCTCACGAGATGTGGACTGGTAAAGTACCTAAACTAGACCACATCAAGATTTGGGGTTGCGAGGCTTTCGTGAGACGCGAGACTCATGATAAGCTCGAACCTCGAAGCGAGAGGTGTATTTTCATCGGCTACCCACAACAATCCTTTGGTTACCTCTTCTACAGACCTAGTGACAATGTGGTCTTTGTAGCAAGAAGAGGAGTCTTTCGAGAAAGAGAGTTTATAAGCCAAGGAGACAGTGGGAGGCAAATTGATCTTGAAGAAATTCAAGAGTCAAGTGGTGATGGAACTTCAAACTCTAGCCCTCAACTTGAGGAGGAAACTCCTGTTGAGCCAATTGACGAATCTGTACCTCTGAGGCGTTCCACGAGAGTTAGGAGTGCACCTGAGCATTACTATGGATTCCATATTACTGCAGAAGGTGAGACACTTATTAGTGATGGAACACTAGTAAGTCAAGATGACCCTAACAGCTACGAGGAAGCCATGGCAGGCCCCGAGTCTGCTAAATGGAAAGAGGCTATGGATAGCGAGATACAATCCATGTATGACAATCAAGTTTGGAACTTGGTTGAAATGTACCAGGTCGTAAGACTGTGGGTGCAAATGGGTCTTCAAGAAGAAGACCGACATGGATGGTAAAGTACACACTTATAAGGCTAGACTGGTTGCAAAGGGCTTCTCTCAAATTCCTGGAGTGGATTATGATGAGACCTTTTCTCCGGTAGCCAAGATTAAGTCTATTCGGGTTCTGTTAGCCATAGCCGCATTTCATGACTATGAAATTTGGCAAATGGATGTCAAAACCGCTTTCCTTAATGGAAAGTTGGCTGAAGATGTTTACATGAGTCAGCCAGAGGGTTTTGTCAGCAACAAGTACCCAATAGAGTGTGTAAGCTTGAGAAATCCATTTATGGGTTAAAGCAAGCACCTCGCAGATGGAATCTTTGCTTTGATGAAAAGGTCAAGGAATTTGGCTTTTCTAGGAGTGAAGATGAATCTTGTGTGTATGTCAAGGCTAGTGGGAGTATAGTTAGCTTCTTGGTATTGTATGTGGATGACATACTACTCATAGGAAACGACATTCCAACCCTGCAGGAAGTAAAGTCCTGGCTTGGAAAGTGTTTCGCTATGAAGGACTTGGTGAAGCTGCCTATATTTTAGGGATAAGGATCTTGAGAGATCGGAGTAAAAGACTAATTGGACTTAGTCAAAGTACCTACTTGGATAAGGTGCTGAAGAGATTCAGAATGCAAGACTCCAAGAAAGGAGAGTTGCCCATCCAGAGTAACGCCAAACTGAGTAAGACACAAAGCCCTAGCACTGAGGCTGAGATAGCACAAATGAGTCGAGTACCTTATGCTTCGGCTGTAGGATCGATCATGTATGCTATGACGTGTACTCGACCTGATGTAGCTTTTGCCCTGAGCATGGTTAGCAGGTTTCAGGGGAACCCTGGCAAGGCACACTGGACTGCGGTAAAGAATATTCTCAAGTACCTACGAAGGACTAAGGACTGGGTCCTTACCCTCGGTGGGAGTGATGACTTGAGAGTTGTAGGGTATAGTGATGCTAGCTTCCAGACTGATAGGGATAATTTCCGCTCTCAGTCGGGCTGGGTCTTTACCCTAAATGGAGGAGCAATTTCTTGGAAGAGTTCCAAGCAAGAGACAGTGGCAGATTCTACTTGTGAATCAGAGTATATTGCAGCTAGCGAGGCGGCAAAGGAGGCGTTATGGCTGAGGAACTTCATTGGAGACCTTGGAGTTGTACCAGCTATTAAAGAGCCAATGGAAATTTTCTGTGATAGTGAAAGTGCTGTTGCCTTAGCCAAGGAACCAAGGGATCACGGGAGATCCAGACACATCGACAGAAAATACCATTTCATCAGACATCGGATCGAAGAAGGACTCCTCGTGGCAAAGAGGGTATCATCAGATGAGAATCCGGCAGATCCCCTCACGAAGGGACTGACTCGGGTTAAGCATCTCCAGCATGCTCGGAGCATAGGGCTGAAGGATGATATTAGATTTAGTAGTTAGATAACCTCGAAATTTGTAAAGTGTAATTGACATCTGATGATGAATAAAAGTGTTTTATTTATGAGTAAAGTGTTGCTATCTCTTGTCGATCATTTACTATATTTCTTTTGCATGTTTTGACTTCCAGAATAATTTTTGTTTGGTATAACATATTATTCAAACCTCCACAGTCGGTCATATGTCGGAAGTAGATATGAATCAAGACTGTCATGTTTGGTTGTAGAGGTCTTGGACAAGGCTACAGCAATCATGAGTGCTCAAAGTTCTGAGCATTGGACTCAACCCACGCTCACTGGAATCACTTCATGGAATTCTATCTCGAGTGATCGTGAGACGGTAATATCGTATAAGTCTTCAAACCTAGAGATATGATTTGTTACTTACAAGTTGGTTATGCATTGATTGTACGAAAAACGCATTGGTAACTCGATGTTATAAATCGCGCTCTTGTGTGTAATTCAATGAGTGGTAGAACAAACATATGAGTCGAAGTTTATCTGTTCCTTCTTGGATTAGAAGCTGATATCTGGGCCCCTCGATGATTTTGTTTTGACCTATGTACCGGGCCCGGTCAGAACTAAATTGATGTGTTCAATGAAGTTCTTTGTCAAACAAATCGGAAATCGGGAAACAAACTGTTGGACAATAAGTAAGACATTGTTCCGTGTATTTGTCCGACTGATATCTAGAACAGAGGATTATATGATCACTTATCTTAAATGGCGTACCATCATCTTCTCAGTTCCGAGAAACCTTGTAAAGAGCTACGATTGCCGATCGGTTCCTGAAGTCATACTTGCAGTAATAGTTATTAGACTTATCCAAGTGGGAGACTGTTGGATAAGGTGTCTAAGTCCATAACTATTTCTGGTATGTACTTGACCCGACCCGGCATGGTCCATTTGGGTTGCATGGCACCGTGCAATTGGATAGACTAAATGAGAGAAATAACACTTGGAGATTATTAATATATTATAAGTTCTAATATATTAATAATATTATTTGATTAGTTTGATCAAGAATTAATTTAGAATTAATTATGTGATCAAAAGATAACTAATTAAATATATGGGTTGATTATGTAAATCATCCATATCTTGTATAGTGGGCTAAGAGGCTCCATGGATTATCAAGTTGGGTTCCACCCATAGGATGCTCCATGGGAGTTACAAACCCATGGGTCATGGAAATGAAGAGTCATGACACATTAGGGTTTAACCCTAGATGTGTCAACACTATATAAGAAACATGTTCTCCACCTAAAATCGGTTACACTAAGAAACAAGAGGGCTTGGCCGATTTTTGAGAAGTGTGTGTTCTCTCATAAGTTCTTCCAAGAGCATTTGGTGTTGTGTGAAGCATTTGAGGCATCACACTTGGGGTGCTAGGCTCACAAGGTTTCAAGGAACACAAACAACAACAAGGTAAGTTATTCTATCTATACTTTAAGTTAAAATTGTTCCCCATGTATTCTAGATAGGAATATAACCTTGGAATTCAACTTTGCATGATAATTAGACAAACATAGATCCAAGGTTATTAGGGTTGCATGTACACTTAGGAAGTGTTAGAATGCTCAAAACCCATCAAAAGCATGTGCGGCTGACTATTTGTTGCCACACTTTTAAATGAACAAATGTGTGCGGCTGACCTTGTACAGTTGTACACATGCATGTGCGGCTGTGTAACTGCGTGTGCGGCTGCATCATTTTTATATGTTGCCCTAATAATTTCATGTGTTAACTTTCAAATTAAAATGGGAGACATGGAGTTTGCTAAAGCTCATAAAACTGCAATTTTTCTTGAAGACCCTCCTGCAGCCCACAGTGACTTGAAATTCATTGTGGATGGTTTGAAGAAATCATGCCTGGTTCATTGCTTAACTACAAATCCGGCTATCTATCAAAGTTTAATTCAGGATTTCTGGAGAAATGCTGAAGTAAAGAAGAATGATCGAGGTGAAAAATTTCTGGAAACAACTATTGAAGACAAGAGAATTCTAGTTACAGAAAGCATCATCAGAGAATCTCTTCAAATTGAGGACAAACCTGAGTACCTCATGGAGATTCAAGCTCATCAAATTGAGAAAGTTTTGGAGCATATGGGATACGAAGGAACTTTTCCTCCTAAAATCAAAAAGCTGCTTCCTCCATGCTGGTAGCTTTTGGCTCATGTGTTCGTGAGTTGCATTTCTGGCCGGAGATCAGGAGCTAACGAGATTTCTCTAGCCAATACTGGTGCCATTGCTGCATTGGTAGCAGGTTTTGAGTTTAATTACTCGAAATTCATGATAAACGAAATGATACTGAATATTGAAGGAAGAAAAAGAGACAAATTTTGTATGTATCCAAGATTTCTACAAATCATCCTTAACGTAACTCACCCCAAGTTGCAGAGAGGAAATGATACTCTGGATTTCAAATCCATTGGTCCAAGTGCCTATGCACTAATGAAGCAAAAGAGAGGTGGAAAATTTGTATTTGAAGGAAAATTTCCTTTAATAAAATTTGGAATTTTTAAAGAGGATGACAGAGAAGAAGCGGCAGATCAATCCATGTCGATGGAAAATGAATACACTCATCACTGTCCCTCTGAGCCTGTAGTGGAGGAGATTTATCACTCTCCCACAGCTTGTGTTGCTAATGAGCATGATCATCAGAAAGCAAATGATTCAATATCTTCTCGAGGGGATGACGACGATGATCTTTATGAAGATGTAGAGTTTTTGAAATAAATCGACTTTACAGGAATCAATGATGATATTCCAACAAACATCGAGTTTGATTTTGGTGATGAAGATTTTGATCCTTTTCATGATATGCCCAGCAGTCGTGCAAATAAAGTCAATGAAGTTGCTTCTCTAGCAACCAAGACTAGAGATGAAGGAAATTCTCTCAAAATTATGCTCACTTCCTCAAAGCCCTTGGAAATCACAACAAGTCAAGGAGATGTGACATTAGAGATTCCTCCCTCTGTGTCACCTATCTCAACATCAACTCCAGTCATTTCTATGTTATTTGAACCTTAGACTTCTCAGACCTCCATAAGAACAAGCCAATCTCTTGAGAGTCTGGAGGTACCCTCTATGAAATGTGCTCCTCAAATTATCTCAACAATCACTGCAACCACTGCTCACTCTCCTTCAAAGCAGACTGATGAAGGTCCAAGCACCATGTTCGAGACTGGTGGATCCTCTTCTATTCCAGAATATTCTCCAACACAACCTTCTCTTGATGAAGCATCTATCAGATTAGTAAAACATTTAGCTCAATCTAGTCCAACCTCTTCACGCGGAAAAGGAATATCATTTAACGAGGATCAGATAGATGATGACAAATCCTCTTCATCTGATCTCCGAGAAGAAATTGGAATTCTCCGTCAACAGCTCATTGAAAAATCTATTCAGATGAATCAGCTTTCTGCACATATTTTTGAGCTCAGGGCAAAAGATGAAGAAAAGACCAAACAAATCAAGGATCTACAAACGAGTCTCGGTTCTGTTCTGGAAAACTATTTCAATCTCAAGAACGTATTGTACGATGCCTTTGGTGAGAAAGTCAAAGCCCTTTTCCAATAGCCTCATGGAGTAGTTGATCTTCCTTCAGTTCAATCACCTCTTGAAACTGATGATCTACCTGTTGACCCACCTGTTCCAAGAACAACTACCATTGTGGACATATTTGAAAAAGAACCTGAAGGGAGCAGAGCCAGAATCATAATCAAACAGGGCAAAAGAATCACAAAACAAAGCGAAGGTCTTTGATTCATGCAAAACCCTAACGAAAATCGAAAAACAAAAGACCCTTTCTTGATAGTAACGGATTTGAAGAAAAGAAAGTTTGGTGATGAGTACGGTGACAGAACAGGCATCTGAATGTGGGCCTTTGATCTAGTGACGAACTTGTGGCTTGTAAAGCGAAAATCAGGAGCATCTGAATTTTACAAAAGCACCCATTATTTCAACTCCTGGACCAAAACTGATCTAGCTGAATTATGCAGGGCCGCATTCCATAACCCCTCTGAAGATCCAAATGCCTCAAATTTCAAAAGATTTCTCGATAGACAGGTCAAAGAGAACTTTCCTTTAATGAAGACTGCCAAAGCCCTATACAAAAAGGACAATGATGTTCTTGATCCAGAAACAGGCGAACCCATGAAGATTATACTTTGGCTTGCAACTATGAAACAGAAGGAAATTCCTATTCCTCAACACTTTCATGAGGGATATCTAGATGACATGGAATTTTGGGCATATGATGACGAAACAGTTACTGCAACCATAAAATTCAAGAATCGAGAACATATTCTGAGATTAATTAGTGCTAAAGATCTTCTACACTTCAGAGAAAAGGATATACGAACTTTGGCCCATCATCAAATCATTTGCAGAAAGGATGTCATGGAGGCTGCTGCTAAAGAATACACTGCAATGGTAGCTACAATTATAAATGGAAGATTGTGGATGGGTTCAATGGGCAGATTAGATCTGAGGTTGTTTGAGAAGCCCGCCGAGGAGCCAAAGGAGTGAAGACAAGACTATGCTAGCCTCAAACCAAGGGGGATACTGAAAGAACATAATTTTGTGGTTTGAGATAGGTATCATTTTGTATAGATGATAGTGTCTTTTTTGAAATGACTATGTGGTGTAGTGTAATGTGTGCTGCCACACATGTGTGTGCGGCAGCACACATATGTTGGGCTGCACTCTCTTGTGCTGGTCTGAGGAGTACTATTTATAGCAACTGAGGTGTGTCAGATTGTACTGATTTTGCTGGTGTTAGAACTGTGTTGTAGTTGTACTTTTCTCAAGATGTACTTGACATTTGCAGAATATAAATGTGTGCATGCTTGATTTTAATTCTTCTTCTTCTACAACTCTCCTTTATTATAATCAACTTCATTGATTACTGAATTGGATCATTAAATTTGGGACTTACATATTCATAAACTAAGGTTACTAATAATAAAATACACCCTCGGATAGTAACAGAACGACGAAAGTAACAGAACGACTAAAGTACAACCAGTACACGCCTTTGGATGACACCAAAACTTCGGAAATACAGCTAGTTTACGCCTTGAGTGTCACCAGAGTTTCGGAAATAATTTGAAAGTACGCCTTTGGATATTGACAGAGTTTTGAAAACATACGCCTTTGGATGTTGATAGAACTTCGGAAATACGTCTAAAGTACACCTTTGGAAGTCACCAGAACATCTAATATACAACTGATATACGTCTCTGAGTGTCTCCAAACATTCAAAAATACGGATAAGTAAAGTAGATATTCGACATTCATGTATAGGATAACCAGGCCTTCAGAATACTTAACTAATACTACAAGTATGATAGATTCTAGTACATAGCATTCCGAACCAAGAACTAACCACGACTTTTAGGAAAATAAGGGTTTTTCCTAGAATAACGAACTGTTCCTAACCAAACTGTAGAATACACGAATAACTAAACTTACAAATAAGAAAATATGGGATTTTCTTGGATTACGAACTATTCCTAATTTGATTCTGCAATAAACGGATAACCCAACTTAACTTGACTGTGTAACAAACGGAAAACTAAACTTTGCTTATAAGAAAATATGGGATTTTTTTAGATAACGACTTTTTCTGTAACAACGCAAATTTTCAAATAAAATTTTCATTTAAAATAAAGTGATTTCATTCAACCAATACTATTTATTCCATGTTTCATATCAAATACATATATAAAATCCCCAAGATCTCAAATATCAGCAGTGTGTATGTATCATGCCGGCGCCTTCCCACGGTCCTCGCTAGTACCTGAAACACATACATAACAACTTGTAAGCATAAATGCTTAGTGAGTTCCCCAGTATACTACTTACGTATATACGCCTTTCCAGGCCTTGAGATAATCGCCTTCCGGCCCATAACATATTGCCTTCCGGCCCATAACATAACGCCTTCCGACCCATAACATATTGCCTTCCGGCCCATAACATATTGCCTTCCGGCCCATAACATATTGCCTTCCGGCCCATAAACATACACATCAATTTATACATTAATCTTAACACATATAGCACATATATCATATATCATATCCGACCTTTCAGTCACATAGTCAAACCCTTCCGGGTACAGTATAGTGAGAAGACTCACCTCGTGGTAATGAAAACTATCAACTCTTGAAACCACTCGCACTCGATCCGCCGATCTACAGACTCCCTATAATACCATATACCCTTATTAATACTCTTATCATTCAAGACAACTGACCCTAAGAAATTATATGCAGGTCAACTCTGGTCAACGGTCAACTGGACCGGACTCGTCGAGTGCAAAGGTGACTCGACGACTCGAGACGTCCTCTCCAACTTTCCCTGATGTTCCCTTTCTACACGTCGAGTATCCCCCTTGACTCGATGAGATCCACGTGGAAGAATCGCGGGGCCACCCCGACTCCACTCGCCGAGTCTGAAGAACAACTCGGCGAGTCCCAGTGAATCTTCAAGCTACTCGCCGAGTCTGTGTTGTATAAGGTGTCTAAGTCCATAACTTATTTGGTATATACTTGACCCGACCGGCATGGTCCATTTGGGTTGCATCTCATCCAAACTGTTATGGATAATTTTATGAGAGTTATACACATATGTTTATTAATATATTATGAGATATAATATATTAATATGAAGTTACGTTATTTAATTAGTTTTAGTCTTAAATTAATCATGGATTAATTTAGAGATTAAAAGGAATACTAATTAAATTATGGGCTATTTGTTTTATATAGTGTGGGCTAATACTCATTTGTTAATGGGCTAGGCTTATGTGGAAGTCCATGGATGATCCATGGAGCTTTTAACCCATGGATCCTTGGAAAAGGAAAAAACATGGGTTATTAGGGTTTCACCCTAACCATGCATACTATATAAGCATGCTTATGGAGCATGAAATGAAGCCTAAGATACACTAAGAGAAAGCTAGTGATCTAGTGTGTGTGTGCATGTGTGTGGCCGATTTATACAAGGTGTATATACTCTCTCAAAGTTTTCCAAGAGTTTATGGTGTTTGTGATTCCATTTGAGGCATTCACACTATTGGTGCTTGGCCCTCAAACTCCTAAGAACCCAACACACCAAAAGGTATGTAATCTCTTCTAACTCTTTTATGTTGAAATGTTCCCCATGCCATGTTAGATAGGTTATAAACCTTGGAAAATTATTATTTTGCATGTATTTAGACAAACATAGATCCAAGGTTTATTAGGGTTGCATGCACACTTAGGAAGTGTTAGATTGCTCAAAACCCAACAGTGGTATCAGAGCCTAGGCTTGCTTGTTTGATACTTGATGCAAAATAGTGAAAAAAGTCGAAATCGTTGCTGTCTGCATGCTAGACTCGCCGAGTCCATTGGGGGGACTCGCCGAGTCCAAGGCAAACTTCAACCTACTCGACGAGTCCGTTCGTGCACTCGGCGAGTAGGATCGAAAGAATGCAGAATCTCGACTTTTGCTGCTGGAAATGGACTAGAAACGTTACCCTAAATTGTTTTGGTGTTGTAAAACTTATTTAGTTGGTGTAATGGTTGTTCTAATCCATTTACAATAGCATATATCAAAATTCCATGATTTTATGTGTTCATATATTTCTTGAATTTTGATGATCATGTTCATGTTCTTATGAATTTAGAAAATGATAGGAATTATTTGCTGAATTGTTTAGGATTAATTCTTTATCATTTATGTGTTTTAATGGAGTCCATAATTTGTCCTCAAGTTATGGATTACCAAAGGTCACTTTCATTTAACACACACTTAAAACACATAAGTTACATGAAAATGAAGAGTCTTCATTTTTATGAACCTTTAATTCATAAGTTATGAAATGAAGAGTTTTGCAAAGTTACAAAACTTGCCCTCAAGTTTTGGAATTTGTAAAGTTTCACACACTTTAATAAACTTTAATTCCAAACCTTAGAGTTTTAATAGTTAAAATTCAACCCTTATACTATTTATAACATTAATGGTTAATTATTATATATATG